TAGTAATCCCTGCATCTCTACTGAGCCCTATCCCCAGGTATAACAGCGCAGGGTGAAAACAGTCCAAACGTGTCTGCTGTCTTACAGCAGTACACATTTACTGTTCTTCTTTCCACGACGGGCCTGCAGCGCCGCTCTGGTGGCCATCTCAAAAACCTCCCGTACGCCATCCTTGGTCTTCGCAGAGCACTCCATGTAACCGAATGCTGAGATGCGTCCGGCCATGTCTCGGCCTTCCTCTGACTTCACGGGTTCCTGTTGGAGACGTTTGGGAACACACTTTACTAAAAGGGATCGCTCACAACATTTGTCTGCTGTTTTTTTTCTGAATATAATCTACATAATAAAGTACAGATAATACAAATACAACAGGTTACCTGCTTCATTTTGGCGAGCTCTCGACGTGTGTGCTCGTCGTTACGCAGATCTTTTTTGTTTCCTACCAGGATGATGGGGACGTTTGGACAGAAGTGTTTGACCTCCGGAGTCCACTTCTCTGGAATGTTTTCTGTCATTAAAAAAAAAATCATTACGTTTAGACAAGAATCTTATTTGCCCGTATTTTCTGACTAAAATATACATCAGGGCTCAAAATAAACAGTTGTGAGAAGTTCTAATCCAATCCAAATTTGTTTGAAAAACATTTAAACTGCCACATATGACCCACATGCTGAAAGAGCAACGAACAGAAGGAAACACTAAGTGAAAACTATAAGAGCATAAAAATGAGAATTTCCTCTTTTGGACTTTTGATAGGAGGGGTTTTGGTTCGGTCTGGGAAGGTAAAAGGGTTTTCCCAATTGTTGAAAAGCATCACACAATAAATCTGATTAGTCTCAAAGAAAAAGGTAGTTTGAAATAAATAAAAAGGTATTTGAACAGTATACAGTAGAACGACAAGAAATTTAAATTTATTTAAAAAAACTTTTGTATTACTACAACTGTTACTTGTGTTAATTTAACTCGTAACTCCACTGAGTGATACATCTCTTTGCTTCTATAACTTTGTTTGTAATAGAGAAAAGATGTGATTTGAATTTCAGCTGGACTAAATGCCAGCGTTTGACAAATGACTTGTTCCAGTCAGCATTAGAGCATGCGTGCAAACAAAAGCAGCTCCTCTCCGACAAGTCTTAAGAGTCACAGCAGAAGGAGCTCACAAACTAATAACTTCAAAAGGAAACTGGAAAAATAGGGAAGTGCACATAAAAGACAGAAATAAACCATTTTTAATCACGCCTCGTTGCACGTGTGCATGTGTAAGAATGCAGTTAGTACTCACCCAAGCTGTCAGGGCTGTCTATGGAGAAGCACATGAGGATGACATCAGTGTCTGGATAGGAGAGGGGTCTCAGTCTGTCATAGTCTTCCTGACCAGCTGTATCCCAAAGAGCCAACTCCACCTAAGGTACAGAAACATTATGGTAAAAGAAACAAGGGGAAAGGACTACAAACATGACATTTCACTCCATCTGATCAAACAAATCTAAAGAAATGCTCTGATTGCAGGATTATTTAGGTAGGGTCAAACAGATTTAAATATTCACAGAGTGTGGCACTTGAAGTAGCTTGTGTCCTTGTCAGCTGTACGCAGGGTTAGAAATCAACTGGCCAATAAAGACTCAACAGCCCAGAATCCTATTAGCTCAGAATGAGGTCAGGACATGGGAATTTGTGACTGATGAGAGGCTGTGCACCACAGAAGAGTTCCTCACAAACATTATGATTAAAGAAGGTATCCTAACTCTTGTTCACATATTTTCCAAAAGGTCTGGAACATTTTCATATTAAATATCTACATTATGTTCATTTGAAAGTAATTATTTTAAAGCCAAATGTGTCTTTTCAAGTAAAACAGCCTCTTATCCGGGACAGAACCAAATTATTAAATGTTTTTGGACCCGAAACACTAACACCACTGATGTCTCACCTGTTTGCCGTCAACCTCTATGTCAGCAACGTAGTTTTCGAACACTGTGGGGACGTAGACCTCAGGGAACTGGTCCTTGCTGAAGACGATAAGAAGACACGTCTTGCCACAAGCTCCATCTCCAACTATCACCAACTTCTTCCGGATGGCTGCCATCCCTGATGGTGAGAAAATGGAGGTTATAATTGAGAATCAACGGGAAAGCAAAGAGGGGTAATTTGAAACACAGATCAATGTCACCTCTACCCAAGATGTAGGCTTTCTGAAACTTCTTTAAGGGTCTAGTTTAAGCATTACCATGAAAGTGATTCATGACAATTGTGGTATAAAGCTGCGCAGTGCAAACACACAATTCAACACTATGAGTGACACATTTACACACAAGAATGGAAAGCAGCTTTCTCAATCTGAGCTTTAGAATTAAGATTTATAAAATCTAGCAAAAAATACTTTTGATTTTATTTTTGATTAATGGCAAACAAGAACAAAATGCAAATATTTACATCTACTTTTTTGGTTGGACAACAGCCACAGTTCCTACATATCTGACAATCTGTTTCAATTCAAAGCATTAGGGTTGTGAAAGCCCAAGTGCACACGTAGGTAATTACTGTACACACTATAAAAGTGTTAGTTCACAAAATGTCCATGCCTCTTGCCACAGTGCAGCTTCCTGCCCTACCCTCGAACATTATCACCACAGAGCAAAGCGATATGAGCTACCAGTAAATCACATTTAGGGAGGCGGGGCAAGATGGCGGAGGAGTAAGACGTGTGTCGCGTGGGCTCCCGCTCCGACTTGTTGTTTATGGTTCTATACTAAATGTCCTTGCCGTTTTGAACATTTGGTCCGTCCGGACTCGACCCCTGAGTGATTCTTGCCTGGAAGAATAGAAGAATGGCAACAAACTCGAGGAAAAGCAAACATTCTAGCTCGAAGGTTGTTAGGCCCGACGCCGCTTCGGAGCAGACTGCAGCTAAAACAGGACTTTCGGCGCCCTCCTCTCCCTCCCGCAGCGAGGCGGACGCACTCTCCTTGAAGCCTGACATTCTTGCCGCTATAAAAACCGATCCCTCAGCTGTGATCAAATCCGAAATAAAAGCGGCTTTGGCTGAAGAGTTTACTCTTATTAAAGGGGAGCTACAAGCGGTGAGAGCGGAGGTGGCTAACGGCACGATGCTACTGCGCGCAGATCTGGACTACGTTAAAACAGAGCGTTTAAGAGGTGGAGGACGGCTTGTCAAACTGGTCCGAAGAGGTTGTTTCTCTGCGCACCACCGTGTTGGAACTGAAAGAAGTCGATGGGCTCAAAAAAAAGTGTGACGATATGGAAGGGCACATGAGAAGGTGCAATGTGCGGATTATTGGAGTTCCTGAAACGCCAGAATCCAGCTCCACTTTAGCAGTGGCTAAACTGCTAGCAGAGGTTCTACAGATGGATAAAGAGCCACTGGTGGACCGAGCCCATCGCTCTCCAGGTGGAAACAGGTCAGGCGATAAGCCGTGGGTTATTGTCGCTAAGCTGCACTATTATCAAGAATGTGTGGAAATACTGCGTCGGGCTCGGAGTCGTGGTCCTCTTCGTTTTAAAGAGTCACCGATCATCATCACATCTGACTACAAGGCAGCTGTGGCCAAGGCTCAAGCGGCGTTTACGGAGGTGAGGAGGCTTCTTCGCAACCGACGTGATGTTTGCTATGGCCTGCTTTTTCCTGCACGGCTCCACATCTCTCATGGGGAGGAAAACAAGGAATTCCTGGATGCCAATAAAGCAATGGACTACGTCAAAAAGAGGATCATCTCGGCGACGGACAGCGAGGACCAGCGTCGACCGCAGGTCCAGCCCTCATCTATTCATTGTGACTGTCAGGTTGTAGTGAACCTTTCAACTTTATGTCCCGCGTTATATCTTGATTTAATTTTAGACATTATTCTCAGGGACAACATTCCTCTTTTTGTTCTATGTACGAGAGTTTAACAGGGGGTCTGTCCAGATCTTGGTTAGTGATTTATTTATCAGTGCTGCAAGGAGCATAAACAGTAATAATACTTTAAAATAAGGGAACCCTTTTTTTTATTTATTTTTTTGGTTATTGTTATTTAGTTATGGCGGGAGTCCAGGCAGGGAGTTAAGCCCCCCAGTATAAGCACAAATGTGTGGATTTTTT